CCGACGAGGGAAAATGCTTGGGTCAATCTAACCACCACCCCCTCGGTGACCCGAAGGGTAAGAAAAGGGAGACCGGGAATCTTGACGAGGAGGAAGAGTACCACCACTACCAGGAGAAGAAGCGCCACATCCATATGATCACGGAGGCAACACCGGGGGTGACTCCACGAGCCAAATGAAAAAATGGGTGCATGCCTTTTATGTGGGGGAAGTCACTCATATGCCCCCCGTAAAGCGGCTGAGGGAGGAACCCATTGTATTCACCAATGCCGATATCCCTCCGATTTCCTCTCCTCACAGGGACGCACTAGTGATCCAAAGTGAGATCAACAACACCATCATCAACAGAACTTACATTGACACGGGCAGTTCCGTCAACGTAATGTACCTCAGCACATTCAAGGAGCTGCACCTAAAGAGGGAGTCCATTCATCCCATCCGGACCCCCCTGTCCGGCTTCACCGGAGACACTATTGATTCCGAGGGGGTCATAACCCTCCCGGTGCTTTTCAGCGACAGGCTCCATAGAGCCAAGCTCGAAGTGGAATTCGTCGTCGTCAACATCGACTGCGCCCACAACATCATCCTCCGCCGGCCTGCCCTCGAGGACTTGGAGGCCATCATCTCCATGAGACACCTTTGCCTCAAGTTCCCGGTTGAAGGAGGCATCGGGTACTCAAAGGGGAACCAAAAGCTCGCCCGCGCCTGCTACCCCCAAATAACAAAGAAGGTTAGTAAGGCTGAATTCCGTGTAGACGCCATCACCGGGACGGTAGAGGGAGAAGAGAAGAGACCGAGGGCAGAACAGTCGAGGAGGTAGAAGACTTTGCGCTCGATCCGGCCAAGCCGGAAAGAGTCGTGAAGATTGGAGCCAAGCTCCCTGAAGACTTGAAGACCGGCATCATCGAAGCTCTCCGCGCCTACTTCGTTGTTTTTGCATGGGGGCCGAAAGATATGCTCGGGATCCACCGAAGGGTTATCACTCACCACCTGGCAGTGGACCTTTCATCCAAACCTGTGCAACAGAGGAGAAGACCCATGTCGACCGAAAGGAGGGAATTCATGAAGAAGAAGGTTGCCATGCTCCTCTCCATCAAACACATCCGGGAGGTGAAATACCCTTCATGGTTGGCTAATGTGGTCCTGGAACAGAATCCACCCACCTTCCGCATGTGTGTGGATTACACTGACTTGAATAAGGCATGCCCTATGGCTGAGGGAGGAACCCATTGTATTCACCAACGCCGGTCTCCCTCCGGTTTCCTCTCCTCACAGGGACGCACTAGTGATCCAAAGTGAGATCAACAACACCATCATCCACAGAACTTACGTTGACACGGGCAGCTCCGTCAACGTAATGTACCTCAACACATTTAAGGAGCTGCACCTAGAGAGGGAGTCCCTTCGGCCCATCCAGGCCCCCCTGTCCGGCTTCACCGGAGACATTATTGATTCCGAGGAGTCATAACCCTCCCAGTGCTTTTCGGCGACGGGCTCCATAGAGCCAAGCTCAAAGTGGATTTCGTCGTCATCAACATCGACTGCGCCCACAAAATCATCCTCACCCGGCCTGCCCTATAGGACCTGGAGGCCATCATCTCTATGAGGCACCTTTGCCTCAAGTTCCCGGCTGAAGTAGGCATCGGGTACTCAAGGGGGAACCAAAAGCTCGCCCGCACCTGCAACCTCCAAATAACAAAGAAGGTTAGTAAGGCTGAATTCCGTGTAGACGCCATCACCGGGACAGTATAGGGAGAAGAGAAGAGGTCGAGGGTAGAACCAACCGAGGAGGTAGAAGACTACGCTCGATCCGGCCAAGCCGGAAACAGTCGTGAAGATTGGAGCCAAGCTCCCTGAAGACTTGAAGACCGGCATCATCGAAGCTCTCCGCGCCTACTCCGTTGTTTTTGCATGGGGGCCGGAAGATATGCCCGGGATCCACCGAAGGGTGATCACTCACCGCCTGGCGGTGGACCCTTCATCCAAACCTGTGCAATAGAGGAGAAGACCCCTGTAAGCCGAAAGGAGGGAATTCGTGAAGTAGGAGGTTGCCATGCTCCTCTCCATCAAACACATCCGGGAGGTGAAATACCCTTCATGGTTGGCTAATGTGGTCCTGGCACAGAAGCCACCCACCTTCCGCATGTGTGTGGATTACACTGACTTGAATAAGGCATGCCCTATGGATCCCTTCCCTCTGCCAAACATTGATCAACTAGTAGATGAGACAGCGGGGTGTGAAATCATGTCCTATCTCGATGCCTTCGCGGGTATCACCAGATCTACATGCACGAAGAAGACACAGAAAAGAACTTGGGTGCCACTTACACCCGGATGGTGGCTAGAGTATTCCAAGCCATCCTAGGGCGCACCATGGAGGCATATGTCGACGACATGATCGTCAAAAGCAAACGATCGACCACACATGCAGAGGACCTCTGGGAGATATTCACCATCATGCAAAAATTCAATCTCCGATTGAACCCAAAGAAGTGCACCTTCGGCGTGCAAGGGGGGAAGTTTTTGGGTTACATGGTTAGCCGAAGGGGTATCGAGGCCAATCTCGAGAAACTCCAGGCCATCATCAACATGGAGCCCCCGCGCAATGTGAAGGAAGTCCAAAGATTGACGGGCCGCCTGGCAGCCCTCAACCGCTTCCTATCCAAATCAGCAGAGAAGGCCCTTCCCTTCTTCCAAATCATGAGGAGGACAGTCGGCTTCCAATGGACATCAGAATGCCAAGAGGCCTTCGACGAATTAAAATGGTACTTGTCTTCACCCCCGTGCTCTCCAAGCCTAAGGTGGGAGAAACCTTATATCTCTACCTTGGCGTTAGTCCCGCTCCCATCAGCTAAGTGTTAATCCGGGAAGAAGACGGAGTCCAACACGCCATCTTCTACGTCAGCAAAACCCTCAGGGAAGCGGAACTCAGGTACTCTCCCATAGAGAAGACGGTGCTGGCCATCGTTTGGACCGTCAAAAAACAGAGCCACTACTTCCAGGCGCACCCGGTCCAGGTCCTCACACACCAACCCCTCGGCGCTTTGATGAGGAGTCCCACCAGCTCCTCCCGAATGGTAAAATGGTCTATCTTCCTTAGCCAATACAACATTGACATCCGTCCGAGACCCGCCATCAAGGGCCAAGCCCTGGCGGACTTCGTTACGGAATGCACGGCAAGATCAACGGAGGACGAAGAACCCCCGGCACCGTTGGATGATTGGTGGACCATATACACCGACGGCTCCTCGGCTGCCAAGGCATGCGGGGGAGGTGTAGTCCTCATCACACCCGAAGGCTTCCAGGCCTATTATGCGATCCGTTTCTCCTTCAAGGTGTCCAACAATGAAGCGGAATATGAGGCCCTCCTCTGTGGCCTTCTGCTAGTAACAAACCTGAAGGCCAGACAAATTCACGTCAAGTGTGACTCCAAACTTGTCGTGAGCCAAATTTCAGGAGTATGAGGCAAAGGAAGGAAGGAAGGATGAAGCAATACAAAGAAGCAGCCAAGGAGTTGCTTAAGGTACTTGAGGCACACTCCCTCACTCAAATACTGAGGGCTCAAAATTCCGAGGCCGATATCTTGTCCAAGCTCTCGGCTGAATCTTCGGAGCACCTCTCCAAGATCGCAAGGATTGAAGAACTTAGCCTCTCAAGCATACACGTGAGCCCCATCATGGGCATACATATAAAGCTGGAGGATTGGATCTCAGATATCACCAACTTCATCACCACAGGGCAACTGCCCGAAGATGAAAACCGCGCAAAACTAACAAAGTTGAGGGCTCCCAGCTATGCCCTTGAAAGCGGAAGGCTCTATAAGCGATCATACAACAACACGTTGCTCCGGTGCCTTCATCAGGATGAAGCTGAGGTTGCAATGGAGGAGGTACACAGTGGCACTTGCTCAGCTCACCAGAGACCCTTCTCCATGTCCCGAAGGCTCATAGTGCAGGGGTACTTCTGGCCCACAATGGCCCGGGTTTGTGCGGATCTTGCCCGGAGGTGCGCCGCCTGCCAACACTTTCAGAAGGCTCCCGGCAGACCAGCGGTCAACTATGCCACCATTAGCACATCAATATCCTTCTCCAGGTGGGGCATTGACCTTGTGGGCCCACTACCGAGGGGTACCTCTAACAACAGGTACATCATTGTGGCCATAGACTACTTCACCAAGTGGGTGGAAGCAGAGCCCCTCGCCAGCATCACCGAGGCCAGATGTCGTCACTTTGTCCTCAAAAACATCCTCACAAGATTTGGCGTTCCCCAACAAATCATCTCTGATAATGGAACTCAGTTTGAGGCAGCCCCCTTCTGCGCCCTTCTAGAGGCGTGGGGCATCAAACACACCTTCTCATCAGTCGCCTATCCCCAAGGCAACATACAAGTGGAGAATGCCAACCGAACTTTGCTGGAGGGACTGAAAAAAAAGCTGGAGGCCGAAGGGGGGCTGGGGGGCTGGGTAGAAGAACTCCACAACATCTTGTGGGCCTACCGCACCACCCCTAGGAGGGCAACTGGCGAGACACCCTTCTCCCTGTGTTATGGGTTCGAAGCTAAAGCCCCCACAGAGGTGACTCCACCAACCCGAAGGGTAGACCAATATGAACCGGAGGCCAACGAAGACAATATCACTAGTACAAAAAAAACTTTTTACATCATCTTATCTACATGTGTTATCATATAACCCATGTGAAATACGGACATGGGGTCATTTTTATAATTTTTACAAACTTTTTCACATCATTTATCATTATACCCGATGTTAAATAATGAAATGGGGTGTAGTTTACAATTTTATAAAATATTTTACATTGATCTTATATACAACCGATGTAAACAAAAAAAAACGGTGTCAACTTTTTAATTAATGGAAGTTGTTTTAAGATCGGTTAAAACCGATTTCGAAAAATAGCATAATAAAAAAAATCGTGCCTGATACCAAATCGGTTATAACCGATCCGGATGAATTTAAACCTATGTGATACAGGTCGTCTCTTATTTAGTAAGACCTTCAAACCTAGCCCCAAATTTAACAAAGCAGCCACCATCGGTCTGGGATGGCTAACGACCAGCGACAGCGGACGGCCAACAACCAGCGAACGTGGACGACCAACCACTAGCAACGGCCGGCGACCAGACAGACCCGACATACTGCATACGCACCCGTCGACCACAGACGAACCCTGCTACAAGCGACCAGAGGGAAAAGACGGACCCAATGACTAGAGGCGGACCCATCGACCAGATTTGGACTAGCAATCAGACGTGACTGTGGGTAAAGTTGACGGGCTCTGGGGTGCGTTTTATTCAGTCAGCCCATTGAATTTCATTCTCATCCTCCATGTCACTCACAAATCTCTTTGTTACGCTTTTGCCAGCGTCTTTGATCTTTCGCAGGGTCCGTAACACCCCTATTTCTTGATTATCTTGTTTAAGGTTTTCCTGACTGAAATTTGTTTTTTCTTGGTTGGTTCAGATTCTTCAAAGTCTTGCATTGGAGTTTAAATTTAGTTTTTTTTGGACATAGGTGTTTTGTCTTATAATTTAATTTATTCTTCCTACTGCATTTGACTCCCTGTTTCTAGATTTTAATCCCAAATTCTTACAAGAGGGGTAGATTCAATTACAGTTTAGATTTATGGAATTATGGTTGTTTAGCTTACAATTCAATTTAGATTTTTTGCCAGCTTTGTCCATCTGTTTTTAGGAATTCTTGGACAGTTTTTGTTCTTTCTTGCTCAGTTTTCATCCCAAATTATTACATTGGAGTAGATGCATTTACATTGGATTTAGATCTGTCAGTGAGTCAGTCTTAAAATCTACGATTCTAGGTTATATATAGTTCTTGCTGCAATTGAAAATATGAATGAATATATTTCTTATACACCTATATGTGTATAAGAAATCTAGGTAACTTTTAACCTTTCTTCTTCTAATGAATGCTAAGAGTGTCAAGCCTCATTAACACAACCTTGAATTATATTCTAAACTTCCAGACTTCTACATTTGGAATCGAGTCAAGGTTAGATATTGTGACGGGTCATCCTTTACTAGTGATGTTGAATCTGACAATTGAGATGCTTTCTCAACTAGAGGTAATTTTTTGAAATAATTATTATCTCCCGAAATGTAAACCGGAAAGGGTACCTGCATTGGCTTTATATGTTTTAGTGATACTATCGGCTATCCTTCCCTCATGTGCCATATTAACAATGGCTCCATTACTTGGTCATTTTTACTATTCTCTCGTATTCAACAAACTGATAAGGGAAGCTCTAAGGTCAGGCTACAACTTGATAATTTGCCTTACTCAAACTGGGATATTATTGTACTATCATTAGGCAGACTTTAATACTATCTATGTTTATCTGACTTTCTGACTGCAGCAACAAGTTGACATTGAGTTGAATCGAAATCAGAATTCAAAGGATGTGCCTGCTCCAAACCTTAATGCAATGGATTTCCCTGCTCTTTCAGTGGCAGATAATGAAAACAGACTACCGGATTACTCCAGATATGATCTTCAACAGGAATTGAGTCTCTATAGTCTATCTGGAAAAGGAAGTACCCTTACATTCAAGTCTGGATCTTCTGTCCCAGACATATGTTCTCTTGATTTTGCATCTGCTGTAAAAAAGGCGACTTCTCAAAACTCTAGCATCTGGAAGTTTGATAAAAATGGATCAATTGATGAAAGAGTTAGATCGAGTAGAAGTTCTAATATGCTGACCAACCCTTACAATGGTAGCCAAAATAGGGGCTCAGATTCAAAAGGCTAGAGAGAGTATTAGAGAAGAGGGGGAGAACTGAGAAGAGAAAATGTCTCAGGGACAGGCGGAGGCAGAGAAGAAGCCAAACTCAACCCCGAACGCAGGCGGGGAACCTGGGGTTCACATTAACCTCAAAGTCAAAGGACATGATGGTAATGAAGTCTTCTTCAGGATTAAAAGGAGCACTCAACTAAAGAAGCTAATGAATGCATACTGTGACCGACAGTCTATTGAATTTACTTCAATAGCTTTCCTATTTGATGGACGACGTCTTCGAGCGGAGCAGACTCCAAATGAACTAGAGATGGGAGATGGTGATGAAATAGATGCAATGCTTCATCAAACCGGGGGAACTTATAATCAATATTTTTCTTCTAGCTGAAGATAACTCTGTATCACTGTGTGGGTGAAGTTTAGCTTATTATTGTTATGCTTAGTGAAATGCCTAGGAGTGGGTTGCTATTTCATTAAACGGGATATGATTTGCTCAAGTGGTCTGAGCTCTTTTGCCTTAAGCTTATGCCAAATTTCTTTTGAAAGTAGTAGGATCAACGTTTTGTTTTATCATCTACTACAAGAATCTTATAAGGTGCAGGATCTTTTGAAGTCCTCTTGTAAAAAAAAAGATGCAAAGCCGAGGATCAAATCGTGCAGCTCCTGTCTAGCTTGAAACTGGAGAAACAGTTGGTAATATTCTTCTTGGAGCCCTAGTTATGGACACTATTTGTATTACAAATATCTTTTCTAACAATCTTGGTTTTGCAGGAAATATGTATTCTGAGATGTGGGAAGAAGCTCGTGACTATGCACGTGCTAAGAGTGCCAAGCCTCATTAACACAACCTTGAATTATATTCTAAACTTCCAGACTTCTACATTTGGAATCGAGTCAAGGTTAGATATTGTGACGGGTCATCCTTTACTAGTGATGTTGAAGCAGTGGATCTGGTATGCATAGTAGTTTTTGGAGATCATTTTCTTTGCAGGTTTTTAAAGCCCTGGTTAGGTATGTCTTTATGTGGATCTGGTATGCCAAGATGAACCATCATAACAAGACTCTTCTACTTCTTATCGTAAAGATATGTCTATCTTCTTGCTCTTGCCATAATAGGTCACATACCATGTTCTGTTGGGTCTGTTAATTAGTAGTTTTTCAAACATTTTTTGTATCTGTCCATTTGTTTTTAATATTGAAGGGATTGCTTGAATGAAATGGTTCACCTCTAATTTTAGTATTTTAAGGGGGCTTACACCAGCACCTTTCTAACTATAAGGTTAAAGACAAATAAAGTGCATAAAATGAGGTGGGTCAGCATATTTTCTGCCATCTGCTAAGACTTTGAGAATTCCCAGCGAGGGTCCTTCCAATGCTTGTAGCTTCACTATGAAAATTCCCCTTTTCATCTGGAAGATCAGGTTTACTTTTCATCCTTTCTCTAAATTCTCTTCTATATCTAATAATCTCTCTCTTTAACAGCAACATAGATTCTAGGTTAAGTGGATGTTTGGCATTAAGACTAAATTCAGCTCTTTTTGTCTTCTTCAAATTTCAGCTATTTATAAATGTAAAAGTAGTTTTGTTTGGATATAAGGCTTATTTGGGGTTGATAAAAATTTTCAAAAGTGAATAAATAATGTTTATAGTTTTTATTCCCGTGACTCAATATTGTCATTCAATAAAAAAGATTAAAAGGCAATGTCGTTTTAGATTTTGAAAACCAGGCTTTTGAAGACTCAGTCTATATGTGGATAAAAACATTATTTTTAAAGATAAATAAAAGATTCCACAATTATTAAATATCGTACACAGGTCCGAAAAATGATTTACTCATGCTTTTGGTGTATTTTGTAGGGTTGTGATTGTTTTTGAGCTTGTAGAATCTACTGGTGTGACCCACAGGCCAACATGCTGGTGCAACTGCTATATGCAATGGTGCAGTCCCTCCATGTCGTTATTAGAACATGCTGGAGGACCTCAAGTTTATTTCCAGCTTCTTTCAAGCTTATTGTGTGTAATTGTATTATAGGCTGCATTGTGCAATTGTGTTATTACTTCTGAATACGAGTGATATTTTACTCATATACTTTATCAATGAAAATGTTATCTTTTTACTTGATAAAGTTTAGAAACTTGTGTAGTATTTTAGAAATTGTTTAGTGAAGCTTCAGATTTGCAATGCATTATTGTTGCTGACTATTAAAAGCAACATTAAATATAATACTACGTATGAAGTTTTAATTCAAACTGCGGCCAAATTCTAAAAACTAAAACATTTTTTTTAATTCTTCTTTGAGATTTTACATCGATTGTTATTGTAACCGATGTGAATTCTATTCCACATGGGTTATAACCGATGTGAAATACCTTGTGATGCGTTCAAATATGAAGGTTTTCTACATAGGTTATTTCAGATCCGATGTGGATTCTTTCACATCGGCTATAACCGATGTGAAATATAATTTAAAATGCCGTTTTGGACTGTCTTCTAGATCGGGCGCTGAACGACCGATGTAGAAAGAATTTCCACATCGGTTCATTGACCGATGTGAAAAGTCTCTACTTTTCACATGGGCTGGAACCACATCGGGTGTTTGACCGATGTGAAAAGCTTTTTTTGACCGATGTGAAAAGCCTTTTTTGTACTAGTGTATGGCCCTCGACTTTCACCTCATATCAGAACGTCGAGAGTAAGCCTTCCTAACGGCAGAGAACTACTGAAGGCAAGTGAAGGGCTACATCGACGCCAAGGTCCGTTCCTGGGAATTTCAGGTGGGGGACTACGTCCTCCGAAGAAGGGAAGCTAGCCAACCAACCGAGGGCGGCAAAATGGCACCAAAATTTGAAGGCCCCTACATCGTTACAGCCATCATCAAACGAGGGACTTACAAACTAAAACGCCCCAATGGGACTGAAGTCCCTAGACATTGGAACATACATCACCTGGTCAAATTCTATCAGTAACACACGAGCGGCCAAGCCCTCATAACTTACGAATGTATTCATCCAACGTCTCAAGGCCCCCTATTTTCAAGAATAAACACATGTTGAAGACACTAAGTACCAAGTACAAAGCACGCATGATCAGCCAAGCTCTCGTACGAGCCCCCGATCCAAGGCCTTGTCACACGACAACAAAGCGTCCCGAGCAGAATTTATGAACAACACCCCTCAGCTCAATAAGTGTTTTTTACCAAACACGTAAATTTTGCTTTCGCGCGCTGAATTGTGTAATAAGCCGAAAAAGTAAGGTTGGAGTTACTTTTTCGGGACAAGGACCCTTCAGTACCAAGTACCAAGGGCGGAATGCGACACCAAATGTCAAAATAAGTCGTTCCCCTCGAGGACTCAACTATACTGAAGGCGCCACCTATCGGTCCCGGGGGCACGAAGTGCCCCCGGCCATTTGCAACTAATATGCAAATAAAACCCTTCCCTGAAACGATTTCCGTGCCATTACCCCAAGGGAATGGTAGGCAACAGACTATGTCCCGAGCCGAGGATTCGACTTTCAAAAACGAAACACTTCCCGCGCCATTACCCTAAGGGAATGGTAGGCAACAGACTATGTCTCGAGCTGAGGGAATGACTTTCAACACTGAGGCGCTTTCCGTGCCATCCCCCAAGGGGAGGTAGGCAAAAGACTATGTCTCAGGCCAAGGAAACGACCCTCGAAACCCTCGGAACCCGGAAGGTTAATCCCGAGGGGGGAGCCAATGGTGTATACCGTTTGCCTCCCAATAGGCCAAGCCTTACCAAGAAACCAAGTTTCTTGAAGCCTTCCCTTCACTATTCCAAAAAAAGGGTGAAGGGGAGTAGACTCAACAAGCAATCAAAGAGTACAGATTTTACAGTGGAACAGCCTTCGGCGGCCAACAAGAAGATGGCCTTCAAATCCAGCTACTGCTCCAAAAATTTAATGAGCAATTGACCAAGTCCACACTCTGGCAGCCTTCGACATCGTTCAAAACCGAAGGCTCTAGTCCTACAGTGGGTTTAAATTTGGTTAAAGTCCAAACATACCACAGCTTCCGGCATTTCAACAAACGCCGAGGGCAACGACTCTAAGTATGGGGCTTGGATTCCAAATTTCTAAGACCAACTACGAAGGCCTCCACTGTGCAACACCCTCCATGTTGGCGTGGACCGAAGGCTACCCTTATGCTGAGGGCTACATAATTCCTAAGTCCACACTTTGGAATCCATCAAATCTGAAGGCTCGTATGCTCAACAAATGATCGAGGGCGCCTACTATACATTACTGAAGGCGTCTGCTCACAAACATGAGCTCAAAGTTCCCAAGTCCACACTACTGTAGCCTCCGACACCACAACCCACACCGGAGGCCTCTATTCTGCAGATAAAGCGGAGGTTCACTAGCTCCACACTTCTACAGAGGGCTGCTAGTCGCAAATTCAATGGAAGTCCATAAATTTGGTGCCCCCGGCACCATCACACCCTGCTAAGGGAAAATTTTCCCAAGACTAATACAAATCGAGGGCACCACATGCTAAGGGGTAATATCAGCTGAGGGCATGTTCATAACATCACCCAAAAATGGCTAAGTCCTTAGACGCTACCCCCCGGGACAGATGAAGAAGGCTAGCTATTTCATACAACTAGAAGGAGATTTCTACCGAGGGCCTTGTGGTAAACATCACTTAGAAAATTTTTCTAAGTCCTAAATGTTTAGCCCTCAGACGACTCGTGACATCCACGAAAAATTAAAAGGCAGCATCGACCGGGGGCCCAATGGTGAACATTGCTTTGAAAATTTCCTAAGTCCATGAGTTAAGGGCCCCCGGCACCACAGTGCTTTGCTAAGGAGAATTCAACCGAAGGCCTAGTGACACACATCACCTAGAAAATTTTCTAAGTTCTAAATGCTTGGCCCTCGGTCCATTCAAGGTGCAGACATACATTCATGAAAAGAAAGCTAAAAAGGAAAAGGAGGGCATTGACAAAACATTCATTCATCAAAAAGAGGAAGGCATTCATTCACAGGAAATATAAATTGTTATACATGAAAGGCCGAAGCCGAAAGAAGGAGAAATAAATCACAACATGGCGTTCAAAAATTGTTTATACATCACAGAGAAGGATTACAAATATTATCAAGCATCAGCAGCGCCCCTACGGCAGCTTTTGAGGAGGCATCGTCATCGACAGCATCATCTTCGCCACCGTCCCCCATCATCTCTGAGTCCTCAATTACGGGACTTTCTTCACCCGGGGGGAGGGGGACTCTCACATCTGGCTGCTAAGGGGGGAGGCCATACGCCTGCGGATCGAACTGCTCCGGGGAGATGTTGAAGTGGCGGGCTAGCCTCCGGTATATCAAGCGCTAGGTGAAGAATTCACCCCCTTGATAATAACAGTCGCCTCTCTCGGCCAACCACATTCTACCAGGGCCCTCGACCCAGGCATCAACCTTCTTCTCCACAACCGAGGAGACACATTCATTCTTGTCCTCGGCCATCCATCCCTCGGCCATGAAGGCCTCAAGGGCAGATCCCTCAGCTTTGGCCACCTCCTCGGCCTTCACCTTTTCGGCCTCCTCAGCAGCGATCCTGGCAGCTTCAGCAGCTGCCACCCTAGCCTCGGCTATGCCCTCAGCCTTGGCAACTTGCACCCTATGTTCCACACCCTTTGTCGCCAACCGGAGGGTGTCCTCCGCCTCAACTAGTTTCCTTTGGAGGCTAGCTGTCTCTCCGTCAGCAGTGGCCTTGTCCTTTAGGATTTGATCCACCCTCCGGACGTGCTCACAGAGGCTCATCAAAGTTTGCAAACAGGAAAAAGTATGAAGGGTCGGGCATGTTACATTATTTGCACAAAAAAAGAACAAACAAAAGCAGGGCGGAAAGGGAACTTACCGAAGCGCTGTGCAGGAGGAGCTTGAAGCTGAGGGCTTCGTTGTCCGAACGGGTGAGGGCTGCCTTATCACCAGAGGGCATCACTTGGTTCATAAGCACCGAGTGGCTTAAGGTAGCCTCTAGAATAGAGCTGTGCCTCGGTACGATAGCCTCTAGCCTCTCCCGTCCAAAGAAATCCTCATTAACGAACTCCTGAGGTAGAGGGCCAAAGCCAACCCCCTCATCCACAATGATGACCTCATCGAAGGCGGGCTGCTTACCGGGATCAGTCAGTTTGTGCTTCTTCACCGGGGGTCACCCCCCTTTCCAGCTTTCTTCTTCTTGGAAGCCGCCACGGCTTGGGACCCCCCGGCATCGCCCGCGATAGCTGCTGAAGATTCCTCGATGGCCTCAGCAGGCTTCTGCTTGACTGGCTTCTTCTGAGCATTTGCCTTCTGCTTCTTCCGGCCAGTAGAGCCGATGAATATATATGATATCTTTGTTTCACAAAGCTTCACATATTGTCTTTCTTGCCTTTATCGATTTATTGCTTACCATTCGGGATTCGGTTCATTTTATAGGACTTAGCAGTTTTTCTGGCCTCATTTTTTATCATTCTTCATATCATCATTCGGGATTCAGATAGTTCTGACAATTTACCAGGACATGGCCCTTCTTTTGTGTCGATAGCCGCTCGGGCTTCAGAAAGTTCTGTAGGACTTAGTCGTTTAGTGAATCTTTTGTTTCTGATGTTCCATCTATTCCACCTAACTGTTAATAGAAACCCTATTCGGTTTATCTTGTTGCCCCTATCTTTTGACTCGTCCGAATCCTGAATTTTCCCCATCTCGCCGATTTCTATCTGTTGTTCTTCAAATACTACCCGTTCGGTGTCTCTAAAGATACTTGTTTCAAACTTATGGCTTACGTCAACCTTGGTCTGGGATGCCTCCCATACGTTCATCGTTCAATCTTTTTAGGATGGCTTCCCTAAAACTGTTGATCCGTTTTCATTAATTGCCCATTAACCGTTCGGGGAACGTGCTAAATTACCATAAATGTACCATAATTTCGTACAACCACATTTCACCACGTGTTCTCCATGGGTTAGGGTTTTGGGCGGCATCTTTGCTTATAAATAGAGGTGCTTCTTCTTAATTTCTTCTGTTGCTTCCTTAATCTCTTCTTGCATCTCTCAAAGCTTTCTCTCTCTAGAATTCTCAGGACTCCTTAAGTGGTTTTATGTATTTTTCTTCTAGCTCAGAATCTGA